CTCCCTTTCTCAGCATGGGGGTCAGGGGAGGTGGTACCTTTGTGCCGCACCAGTTAGGGATCCTATCTTCTCAGCTCCAGGTCCCTTATACCCAAATACCAACGTGCATGTTCTCAGCCTGATGCGCACCAGGCGTTTTGATTGGGAGAGGGCGGTTGTGTTGAGCCACTGGGCTAAGTTGGAGGGATTTTGGCCCTTGGGATGCATGGGGTTGCTGTTAAACAGCAGACTGTGGATGGAAGCCTTCAAGCCCTGGTGTGGCTGTTTGTCTTGCCCAGCTTCCCCTATCCTTATCCTGCCTCTGAGACCCTGCCTCCTTTTTCCCTCCTTGCAAGGATGTGGCACTGCTGATGTCCTGTAAGAGCTTGCAGGGCACTTGCTGCTGCACTGGGTGCTCCCCTGACACACTGCACCCTTGGCATCCCTCCTGCCAGTTCTGTTTCTTGCCAACAGAACTGGATTCAGCTGTGCTGGAGTGGAGGCACCTGACCACTGCACTGGGGTGAATTGGGTTGAGGGGGTGTGCTGGGACAGGGTGACAGGATTAGGATGTTGTGATGGATTGGGACCCTCCTCTTCACACCTGGAAACTTTGCAGCTGGTGTAAAGACCAGAACGCAGGAGAAAAGCTGGTCTATGGGCAGACTTACTCCGCCACTGAACTGAAGCATGAAAATGTGGTTTTAAGCCCCTTTTGCAGATGAGCTGGAGCTGTGTGAATGCAGTGCTCCTTTTAGCCTGTATTGCTCCTTCCTTTTAGCTGCTTACATGGCCAAGGGGACTGCTAGGAGCAGATCAAACACTTCTTAAATTAGGATGCTACAGCTCAGTACTGCGAGTGCTCTGCGGAACAACTTCTGGGACAGCCAGTGACTGCGCGTGGGTTGCCTTTGGGTGGTTTGGTGCCCAGAAAACATAACAGGGGCCTTTTCCATGCACGTAGGTTGCAGCATTTCAGTTGGTAATTGTAAAGGGAAGGGTGAGTTGTTCTTCAGTGGAAGACAGAAGTAACATACCCACAGCTGGGCAGCAAAATAGCAGGCTGGCTATGCTTGAATCCTTGGGTACCACTTTCAGCTTGTCTCAGAGATGAAGGATCCTTAGGAGGAGGCACTTCTAAGTATTAGAGGCACTTAGTGACATGGTTTCTAGCATGGCTTTCTTATCATAACTTTATAATATGGAAGACCTTTCTGTTTTACAACTGCACAGCACCTTTTACAGTAGCATTGTCTATGCTGCCAGGCTGCAGCACGGTCCAAAAAATTAGTAACTTCCGTGTTTTGGAGTCTTATTATGGAATTTAATAGCACAGCACTGTAATGAAATCTTAACGGGAAAGTGATGAGAGTGAGTGTTTTGTGTGTGAATTACAGGGTCTGCAAGTGGGCGAGACACTAGCTACTTGTTTTATTGCTGACAATATACTTATTTTCATGTTTATTCCTGGATTACAATGTGTGAATAGCATCCCAGTAAACAGTCAGGCAAGTAGTTATTTATCAAGTATTTACAAGTGAAAGGTCTTGTAATTTTCCTTAGTAATGACTGTGATTTCTTCCAGCTGGATTAATGGTGCCCATTTCTCCCCATGAAGAGCAAAAAGTGTTTTGGTTTCTACATGGAGAGTTATTGTCTCCCATAATGATGCAGACCAGAGGATTTTCTTTTTTCCTTCTTGGCCTGGGATCTGGGAAAGGTTGAAATGTGCATAACCTGAATGAATACCTTGTAAAGCCCTTTAACATTCTTTGTCGTTCCTGTTGGAGTGGTGCAGGAGTCGCTGCTGGCATCAGCCCAGCAGCAGCCTGCCTCGGAGCTGCTTTTGTTTTGGTTTGAGGCAATCAGTGGGTCTTGTGATGGAATTGCCTGGGAAGGTCACTCTGATTTTCGTTTCTGACGTGTTCCTCTGTCCCCAGCTGGGCAGTGCCGGTGGAACAGGTGGCCTGCGGCTTTGCTGCTGAGCTTCAACAACTTCAAGAAGGCATGCTAGAGTGGCCAAAGGAAGCAAAAAAAGAAAAGGGGAACAAAGTGTCATTGTGCCCAACTACTGCTGCTGGTACCCTGAGGTGGCAGAAGCACAAATATCAAAGTATAAGTAATCCCTTGGTAGCAACTGTCTTAGAATCATAGAATCACAGAATGGTTTGGGTTGGAGGGGACCTTAGAGACCATCCAGTTCCAGCCCCCCTGCCATGGGCAGGGACACCTTCCACTAGACCAGGTTGCTCCAAGCCTCATCCAGCCTGGCCTTGGACACTTCCAGGGATGGGGCATCCACAGCTTCTCTGGGCAGCCTGTCCCAGTGCTTGTCTTGTGCCCCTGGGTAGCAAAGTGGCTCCTTAGCTGCTGAAGTGTCTGTCGTTGAAGGGCTGTGCCAGACCCTCCCCAGGCATCCTGCTGGGGGGCCTCAGCAGGTAGAGGATTCTCCTTGCTCACCCTTTCTTTCCTTGAACATCTTCCTGCTCAGAGAGCTGTGTCTCCTCGTAGTGCCAGTCCAAAAAACAGTGTGCTAACTCCCTCGGGCTGCAGGTTGGCAAATCCCTGGAGCTGTTTTCCACGTGCATCTTAGCTTTGTGCCTTCCTTTGCCTCAGCTGGTGGTACAGCTATCTGTTGGTTTTGTTTCTGGGTTGGAGAAGGTGGGAGGTGCTCATGAGGTTAAGACTGAGGGGCCCTGTGTTGAGATCCTAGCTCCACCACAGGCTTGAAGACCCACTCCCTATTGTCCATGTCCAGATCCTGAGAGCCATTTGATTCCCGGATTCCTGTAGGTTTGTGGGAGCTGAGCTGTCATCTCTTAGTGCAACGACCAGAGTTAGTGGCAGGGCGTGCTTTCTGTGACCTCTGCTTCCTTTTCCCAACCCCTGCCTCCTCTGTCCCACACTCCCCAGATCCCAGAAACGTGCAGGGTTTAGCAGCTGGGATCCAGCACAGGAGGCCAGCGTAGAGGGTTTTTTCCAGGGCGTGTGGTTACTACGCTATGCCTCCCAAATTCCTGCGTCCTCGGGGTCTGCCTGATGTTTCTCACAGCAGCTCGTGTGCTCCCTGCACGCTGGGGGTGGACCCTGATGGCGTGAGGGTGCAGGGGGGTGACAGGAGGAAGGGGACTGTACTGGGAGCCAGCCCTGCAGGGAGCATGAGAAACGGGGCTGCTCCCCGGCTGGGCAGGGGATGGAGATAGCTCTTGGGATGCTGCATTTGAAAATAAATAGGCTGTGTGATTGTATTAATCTGAACCCGGCACTCGTGGTTCAGGGGGAGCTCTGTGGGGAGTTCTGGCTAATTGCTGCATGAAAACACAGTGTTTGTTCCATCGAAGGAAACGCATGGACATGGAGTAACCGTGGTGTGTGACCGCTGCTGCAGAGGGCTGTGGCTGGATGGTGTGTTTGGGATGTCCTGAATTGTGACGATGCTGTAGCAGGGCTTTTGTTTCTTCCTGAACTGCTTTCCCCCTTTTCCCACCCCACCCCTTTCCAATCTGATCAGCAAACACTTGTAAATATTCATAATGCAGGATTTGTCTCTCTCCGCATGACTGACGCCAGTGTGAAAGGCATGTGACGGCGCGGGGGGGAATGGGGTTAATCTCCTGCACTGGCAGAACAAGGCTGAGCAGGAGGTGTACAGCACAAGAATTCTTATTTCTGAACATGCCTTTTCCCCTGTATTTACAATCTGCAGAGGAGCAGGAAGAACAGTTTCCCTAACAGTTTCTTCATATCATAGAACCACAGAAAGGTTTGGGCTGGAAGGGACCTTAAAGACCATCCAGTTCCAACCCCCCTGCCACGGGCAGGGACACCTTCCACTAGACCAGGTTGCTCAAAGCCTCATCCAGCCTGGCCTTGGACACTTCCAGGGATGGGACATCCATGTTGCAGCTCCTCAGGTTTCTCCATGTCCATCAGCCAGTCTCTAGATGGAAGTTGCAGGGTCAGGCTGCTGGGCAGGAGACAAGCAACAATTAGGGTTAACCAGGGCAGATCCTGTGACTGGTGAGGCTTTCAGTCTCTCATTAGCACATGCTGTAGGTCGGGGGTGAGCCTGCCCACCCTTGCTGCAGCAGATGCTGGCTGCAGGAGGGTGGGATGGAAGACACTGCCTTCTGGGCTGGCCAAGCCGTGGGTCAGGCTGCCTCACTGCCCACAGAGCTGCAGGTCCCTGGAGAGGCTCGCAGGCTTGTGTTCCAAGGGAACAAGTTTGTTAGCTTGGCAAACCAGGGCAACCTCATTAAGAGCTACTGAGCGCGTGAAAAGCATGTTGCTGGAGGCAGGTCATTGTAAATGAGGGGGCTAAAGTAGCTGGGTTTTTCTAACAATTAATTATTGAGTGGCTTTCTAGAGATTTTCTCATGTTTGTAATTCATTCCCTGCTGTAGATGCCATATTGATTTATAATTTCTTGAAGTTCAATATTTCGTGCCCTTAGGGCCTCAAATAAAAATTAGCTAGAAAATGAGAGCAAATTTCTGTGTTCTGCCTTGTCAGAGCTCTCTCTCCTGTTCCCTGTCCCCAGAGCCAGTTTCCGTGCTCTGGTTTGGGGTTGGAGATGTTGCCAAGCCCATGTGCCATGGGCTGCGAGACGTGGGTGGCAGAAGAGCTGCCTCACTGACCAACAAACGAGGAAATCAAGAGCCCAATTAAGAGCCTGGGATTGCCCCCAGTGACCTGAGCAGAGCATTTAGTAGCTGCTAGCGAGACAGGCCTGTTTGAATGAATAAGCATTCCTGTTTGTTTGAAGGAAAAATAAAATCCCCTCCTCCCGCAGCTCTAATTAGCTACTCTCCTCCTTTGTCTACCTTCAATGTGGAGGGTTTGTCACTGGAATGAAATCTTAACGAGATGCGTGTTCTTCAGCTTGTAGCTGATGGAGGTGATCTCGGGGCAGGTGATATGGGCAATCCTGTACCTGTTTTCAGTGTGTTCTTGCTGGATCTTTGTTTCTGCTGTTGTGAGTACCTTCCTTACCCCCTGCTTTGTGTCTTTTCCTTCAACAGAGTGACTAAAGAAGTGGACTCGACTTCAAAAGAAGCTAAATCTTTTCTGAAGCAGCAGGAGAAATGGCAGTCGGCAGCTCCAGCTTCCCTCCCCACAGTCTCTGGGTGAGTATGTGGTTTCTCTGCCCAGGTATGGATCCTTAGTGAGAGAGGCAGCACTCGAGCTGATAATGTAGGCTCTGTGGTATTTAAACTAATGGGTGTTTGTTTTCTGCAGGATTTCAGTGGGAGCAAGACTAGGCCTGGAAGGTGTGATGATGTGGGGGGGAGGGAAGCGGGGGAAGCAGCCCATGAGTCCCAGTGACTCACTTTGTAGGTTCAGGCTCGAATTTCTCAATCCTCATAAATCATTCATCCCCATAAGGAAATGCTGTATGGAATGTCATGAGGAGCCTGATGAAGCTGCAGGTAGCCCAGGAACATGCCCGAGATCGCCGGCGGTTCCTTTGAGAGGTGCTTCTTGGGACTGTGAGAAGCCATGGCAGGCTGGGCTGTGGCTTCTTACAGACTTTGGAGGAGCATTTGAGTGAGAGATGCTCTTGCCTCTTTGATGTTCCCTAGTATCATTTCGATGTGGATTTGTCACTTTCTGTTCATGCTGTAACACCTAATTCTGGGATTATCGTAACGCTTGTCAAAGATACGGTCCCTGGTGCGTCGCCATACCACTGTGTGGTTCCCGATGAGCCTGGGAGATCACCTGCTTCTCGGGACTAGAGGAGGTGCTTCTGTGTTCCAACAGGGGTTTTTTAAGTCAGTCATTTGCTTTTATATTTGAAAGACATAAGCGGCGTACAATTTGGTCACGTAGAAACAACACCCATCAGATAAATACATTGTCCTTCCCATCTGCTGAAGAGCAATTCTCCAGTGGGAGCTCTTGCTGCCTTTCCCCAACATGGGCTGTTATTCCGTTGCTGCAGCTGGATTGTCACTCATTTTTTCAGTTAAGTGTTGCGTAGCTTGTGGTTCCATCAGGGTAGTGAAAGCACAGTATGTGTGTGACTCCTGACAGCTGCCGTTCCCGGGGATGAATGGATGCATAGATGAGCGTAGTCCTGGTGCTGTTGTTCACTTTGTCCCCGCAGAGCTCACTAATTGTAACCAAAGTGTTGTGTATGGGGTTTTGTGCTGGAGAAACTTGTCTGGGGTTGGACTGGCATTCTTTTGTTCAGTCCAGGCAGCCGCGGATGCGGTTCGGGCGGTAGCTGGAGTCAGGGCAGCTCCTTGCCATGCACGCTGCTGCTGGTCCTGTGTCTTCAAACCTGCCTTCCAGTTCCCCCAGCAGATGCTCCGAGTGCAGCTGGGTTTGGTAGCCCATTGGGAAAGGCGCAGGGGCTGCTTACCTTCCTGCTCTGCTGAGATCCGTGTTTGCCTCTGTCTCTTACTGGCCCAGGGGAGGAGGTGGATGGCCAGCAGGCCTGCATAGCCTAGCCATTATCATGGTGCACGGCTGCTTGGGATGGAGCTCTGATTGCTCAGGAGAAACAGCCAGAGCCCTGTTTGAGTTGACACTGCAGGTTTCTCACATGAAGAATCCACATCAAATACGAGGGGGGGGGGGGAAGGAATAAAAATAAATATAAGAAATAATGAGTTCAAGGACTCCTTTAACTTCCCTCTAGTGTGATTATTTTGGAAGCAGCTTAATTAGGTCGTTGTTCAGCTTGCTGATGTGTGATGTCCTACTGACAGTTGCTTGCCCAGAATATGAGGTGGCCTGGCTGCGCGGAAGGGAAAAATACCCTGGGCTTGTATATCTTGCCTTCTGTCAGAGCAGCAAACCCCTGATGCAGTGCAGCCCCGTGTGCCTTCCCTTTCGTGACCTGCCACAGAATATCCTGGTTGCCTGCAGCGACACTACGGCAGAGGTGTAGCAGTGGTATTTTGATCAGTGTGGAACAGCCCAGTGCTCTTGAGGGTTTAGCAGGAGACTGGGGCAGCCTGGCCAGTGCGTGCCCTCTGGTCTGAGTGCTCCAGGGAGTCCTCTGCCTCAGGATAGTATCCGAGACTGACTGCCAGCAAACATGCTTGCCTTTGGGCTTAGGAGGGTGCTTCCCACTAGGAAGTCAGCCAGGGTATTTTCAGGTGAGAAAATTACTACCAGGCTTGCAGTGTTATTTAAAGCCAGAGGCAAGTCCCTGATGCTAAGAAAATTACAAAGGTCAAGCTTTGTCCTTGGAGCCAAGCTATTGTCCTCTGGAGCAGAGAGCCATGAGCCTCGGTGACATTGCCAGAGCAGCACCTGGGGAACAGCGGAGCCTGTCATAGCCTGGTGGTTCTTTGCTGGTGCCCCTTGGCTACTTAAAATAGAAGCTTGAGGGGGGAGAGGGTGCATTTCTCCCTTGTGCATCACAGGAGAGCCCCAGACTGGGTCCATATCACTGGAAGGCAGTCACAAACATGATTCAGGATCCTGGATTTGCCCGTGGACACCCACGGTGCTGTGAGCCATTGTCAGCCCCTGGGAGCTTTGTCAGCTATTTAAAAAAAGAGAGCCTTGCCCTTTGTGCCGGGGATTTGAGCAGTGAAGAGAGGCCTCTCCATCTGGCTTTTCTTTCTTCACCTTGCAAGCAGCTCGCATTATTTCTGGCTGCAGCCCACCTACCCTGCATTTATTTAATTTCCCTTCTCTAAACAGACAGAAGTAATCCAGGAAAGCAACGGTCACAAAACCAAACATCCGGTTCCACATCTCCACGTTACAAACCTTCGCAGCCAAACTGGTCCAGGGGAAGGGATGTTTGGGGCTGAAAGTGCATTTCCTGAATGTGTTTAACATCCATACCGGATGTGCTATAAAAAGCTAGATTTGTGCTTGTGAGGGACATGGGGGTGGTTGGATGAGAATAACTTAAACACTTGGCTGTAATTAAAGCCAGGAGTACAAAACAACCCACCCAGTTCTCTCGGCAGTCTTTGCTAGAAAGGTCAGAAGCCCTTGGTTCCCAGGGATGTGATGGTTTCCCAGCCTTCCCCTTATTCCTGTCATGTCCCCCCGTGACACCCAGCTAGGCAGCGCTCTGTCAGCAGCAGGTATCTGTTTGTTGGAGGGGTTTGGGGTTGATATTCTGTCCCGGCCTCCTTTACGTCGTGGTCTTGGGTTGTGTTGGGCTGATGCCATCAGGAGGATCAGATGTGATGAGGGGCTCCACTGATCCCTTCTAATTTGCTGTCACAAAAAATGGGTGGAAGGCTCCCAGCATTCAAAAAAAGACCCACCACCCATCCCGCTAAGCTTTCTGGCCTGCTTGTGTGTTTTAGGGCATGTTTCCTATCCTTCCCACTGCTCCTGGGCCTTTTGGAAAAAGGCAGCAAGAGTGGCTCCTGGCTGTGAGGAGCTGATGATGGGATCAGCTCTGTGGGCATCCCTGCTGTGCTGAGAGCTGCTTTCTGTCCCCTCCCCAGGCCAGGCAGGACCTGCAAGCTAGGTCTCATCCCCTGTGCTAGTAATCCTATTTTACAACCACCATCTCGTATTCAGAGGATGTTAAAGCACATTAAATCCTCCGTGCAGCTTACCACAGAACGTGTGCGTGTACTTGTGCGTGTGTGACTTGGGACAGGACAGGAGGGTTGAGCTGCAGGCTGGGAAATACCTGCACAGACCCGTGCCCTTCGGTGTGAGTGGCTGCCATGTGCCCGTTGCTTCTTGCCACTTGTAAAAATGCTTCTGAAGCAGTCCTGAAAATGGGGAAATAAAAAAACCCTACTAGTTGGTGGATCTTACTTGAGATTCTCCTCTAGGCAGCTGTTTCTACACGGCGTGAACAGGAGCCAGCGAGAGAAAGGGAGGTTTTTCAGTGGCTTTGTTCTTGCCTTTGCTTATTACCAAAACCCTTTGTAATTAAATGTGGACTTGCTCACTCAGCCCAGCTGTTGCTTTTCTGTTTGATCCTGCCTGAAATTACAGTGGTGGATGTGTGACCTCCTAGGCCTTTTCATGCCTCGTAGGCTGGTATAAACACAGGGTAAAATTTGCCTTTGAAGCAGGTGGGCACCACTCCCACGGAGCTCAGGAGGTGCAGTGTTTGCCCACCCCCGGGCTCAGTTTGCCCCGCGAGGGTTTGGACCTTGGTGCAAGACCTGTCAGGAGAGGCGCTGCGAGAAAGCTCTGACCCAGAGACACGCTTGGCCTGGACAAGGGAAGCAAAGCGGGATCTGGAGCACAATTCCTGTGAGAAGTGGCTGAGGGAGCCGGGGGTGTTCAGCCTGGAGAAGAGGAGGCTCAGCGGGGACATCCTC